GTTTTCCTTTGTATAGTGCGTAGGGTCAGTCTCAAGACCTTTCTTACACCTGCTAGATAGGTGATCTATGGCTGAGCTGTATCCTTAGCTTGGAGCTGTGGCTTTAAACTCTCTTTCAATACAGCTATTCAAGAAACCCTTCAAATAGCAGCCATCTCCACCACTAAGAAGATTCTTTGGAAATACAGTCTCAGGAGGTTCCGGGATGATTATGTATTCAATGTCTAGGAATAGAGTGAGTAAGGAATGTTCAACTCTCTAAATAGACATTTATTTAATCAACAATTTTTGAAATGAGTCTTTCTAAGAAAGGAAGTGGGGACGACAAATATTATGAAATTTAAAAAAACATGCTAAAGTGTCCTGAGCTTGTGCACCTTAGTACTTTTCTTTTTTACAAGTAGTCCTTTCATACATTTACACTTAAAATAAGACCCTATTTATAGCTTTCTTATAGATTCCTTTAGATTCATACCCTTACTTTGTTAGATCCTTGTCAACTTTTATTTATTTATTTATGAGGAATGTCTTATATGAAAATATTGCATGTACCTTGAAACAAATTTTACAAATGTGTATTTTGTAGCAGTCATGAACATACTCACCTTACTCCTGTGTGCACCAGTGTACATAGCCTATAATTTGTTTCAATTACCAGAGTAAGTGCACTTCAAGTTGTCCTCATGGAGAGTGCTTTAAGCAGCATTAAGTCTATCAGGGTGTAAAACACCCTTCCTTTCAAACCCATACAAACTATGGAAAACTAGTGTCTGTGTCTATGTAATCTATCAGGGCTCGCTCAAATAATGGTAAGACATCCACTATAACTGTGATTTTAATATAATTGAAAATATATAGACTTTTCATGTCAATATATTGAGTTCATTTCTCAATTTTAGAATTGATATGATACCACAGAGTTATAAAAGTCAAAAAGACTTTATGTTTATCAGAACAAACAATATAGTGCATCTTTTAAAATGGGAATAGAAGGTCTTGAAAAAATGCCTCAGCAGATAAAAGTAATTACTGGGCTGGAGAGATGGGTAGAGATTAAGAATATTGCTGCCATGAGGACCTGAGTTCCAATCCTCAGAGCCCACATATAAAAACATAAACAGGGCTCTCACTTCAGTATCCTGACTACTGACTTAGCTCCAGTTTCTATGTTATACATTATTTCAAGGGAATAAAGTTTACAGCAGCAGAACAGAGTACCTGATATGCTCCTCTGACTTCTGTAGTCATACAAATACACCACACACAAATATTAAACATCTCCATTCTCTCTCTCTCTCTCTCTCTCTCTCTCTCTCTCTCTCTCTCTCTCTCTCTCACACACACACACACACACACACACACACACACACAGAAACACACACACACACACACACACACACACACACACACAAAACTGGAATGAACTAAGGATTTCTTTTTTGTTGGTTTGTTTTTCAAGACTGGGTTTCCCTGCGTAGCACTGGAGCCTGTTCTGGAACTAGCCCTAGTAGACAAGGCTGGTTTCAAACTCATAGAGATCTTTCTGCCTCTGCCTCTGCCTCCTCTGCCTCTGCCTCCTCTGCCTCTGCCTCCTCTGCCTCTGCCTCTGCCTCCTCTGCCTCTGCCTCCTCTGCCTCCTCTGCCTCTGCCTCCTCTGCCTCTGCCTCTGCCTCCTCTGCCTCCTCTGCCTCCTCTGCCTCTGCCTCCTCTGCCTCTGCCTCTGCCTCTGCCTCCCAAATGCTAGGATTAAAAGCATGCACCACCACCACCTGGCTGGATTTCTTTCTTTCTTTCTTTCTTTCTTTCTTTCTTTCTTTCTTTCTAAGATTTATTTATTGTACATACAGTGTTCTAAGTGCATACATTCCTCCACACCAGAAGAAGATGGCAGATCACATTATAGATGGCTTTGAGCCATCATGTGGTTGCTGAGAATTGAACTCAGGACCTCTGGAAGAACAGGCAATGCTCTTAATCTCTAAGCCATCTCACCAGCCCTCTAGATCAAGAATTTCTTAAATTATCTATTTCCATGTTGCTTAATAGTCCTTGCTTTAGTCTGCCTCTTTCTCATACACTTCCACACAGAGATTGAAGAACTCAGGCTGTACCTTCAAGACTGCTGAGAAATCTCTGCTAAACAAGCAACATCATTATTCCCACACATCTATGCTGCCCACCTTGGCTCAGCTTTCTACCACTGTGTAGAAAGGGATTTTCCCCCTTAATTTTCCCATAACACTTTGCTCACTTCCATCTCCATCCACAGTTCATGTTCACATTTGTATCCACAGTCTGTTCCTAATGACCTCTGTACATCCTCTCACATGACAGGTTTTTATTCCTCGGTGATCCTTACCTGAGATCCCTTCCATTATTCATATGTATATTTCTTTTGAAACTGTTAGTAACAAATCTAGGATTTTTCAAAACCTGACTTTGCAAACCCATCCAGCTCCCACTATCACATAGCTCCTAAGACACATTTGTAGGTATTTGTTCAAATACTGCCCATTTCCCACACTATCAAAATTCTCTGTGGATTTCCTGTTTGTTGCCATAGCAAATAACTCCTAGTAGTACTTTTAGAATCCTGGGGTTACTAACTTACAGAAGACCTAATAAGTTTGACTAGACTGAAACCAGGATGACAATGGGGCTGCTTTCTTTTCTGGGCAACCTAAGGTAAAGTAATCTCCCCTCTGTAGAGGTGGCAAGAATTATGGCTCCCTTTGCATCCTCAGGGCTGGAAATTGCACATGGAACATTTTTCCCATGGTTTAATGCAACTGCCTGACTCTGACACTGACCTTCCTGTGTCCTATCTTTTACAAGATCCTTAGAATTACGCTGGGTTCATACAGATATTGTGGTATAATTTCATCTTCACTCTTTGTTTCCCTTTCATTTATTTTTGTTTTTAAAATGAAATTACTCTCATGGAATTTTTGTGGCTCGACATGAGAAATCACAGAAAGCATAGGAATCCTGGGAGAATTAACAGCACAGTTTCAAATATATAGTGAATCATAAGAAATCAGAAAGGAAATTTTAAAATCCTGGAGTCAAATGAAAATGAAAATATAACCTAACTGAATCACTGGAACACAGCCAAGGCAGTGCTGGGTGGAACCTTAATAGCTATAAGTGCTCATACAAAAAAGAAAAAGAAAGCATTAGAAATTCCAAACAAACGACCTAATGATACAGCTCAAGGCTCTTCAAAAGCAACAAGAAATCAATCCCAAACCCAATAGATAGTAAAACATAACAGAATAGAGAAGAAATTGAGACTAAAAGAACAATGCACAAAATCAACCAGACAAAAGTTGTTTCTTTGTGAAAGTGGGCCAGACGTCAACCATTAGTTAAAAAATGAGGAAGAAGACACAAACCATCAAAATTCGACGCAAAATGGTGTCCCCTGTAACAGACACCATCCAATTTCAGAACCTCATCAGGGGATGTTTTGAAAACTTAAACTTCCAAAGCTCAAAAACCCAGAAGAAATTTGCTGAGGTTTTAAATGTGTATGGCCCATCAAAATTAAAGCCAAAATATATGAATGATTATAAACAGAGCCATACAAACAATGAAATAGAACCTAATAAAGTTGCCCTCACAGGAAAGCCCAGCATCAAATGGATTCACTGTGAGGTTCTATGAAGCTTTCTTCCTTCAAATCTTAACGTTTCTCATTAAAACTTCACTATGAAGAACTTGAATACAAGAGTGAATGTAGCAAACTGAGCCAAACCAAGAGTCACCACAGTGAACTGCTCCACAGTAACAATAGCCTGAAGCTTCACACTGGATTTTAACTCTTAACCATTGGATATGTTTTTATGTATGTTGTTTGTGTTGGGCCTATTTAAATTTTCTGAAATTGCCAAAGAGGTTACAGAAGGCTTGCTTTGCACTGAGAGATTTCCTTTGGTAGCATTTCTGTTAAACCATCATGACTTCCCTATTCTCAACAGAGTGAAGACAGATGGGCTTCAGTACTTGGTGCCATGTGTCAGAACAGACCTGAAGGTGCAATCACATTCAAGTGTCACTTATCTGCTCAGCAAGCCATGCCTCAGAAAGCAGGGCTATGGGAAAAGGCATAGGAAGCATCAAGAGTTTTAGCATAGACCTCACAGCACAATGGAGATGCTATCCTGTCCCCTCTGCACTTCCCTACATTTTCCTTTATTCCCCTTTGCATTCCACCATGTGTTGTCAGTCCTGTTTCCTGGCCACCTGCTCACTGGCCTTTGTTCCCTTTCCTCTGCTAGTGCCAAGCTGTCCCTTCCACATCTTCCTTTTCCAAACATGAAGGACTCTTCAGGATCCAGCAGTGACACCATTCCTTCAGGACCATTCTATCTGCCACAGCAATGTTCCTCTTCCTCTGAATGTTCATATAATCACTTTGAAACCAGTAGAGCTGGCTCCTTTTCATTACGAGAACTATTTTTTTTATCCTTCTGGGTCTTGAGTCCAAAGAAGTCTGAGGGCAGATTTTTCTACTGACCTAATCATGGGTTAATTTGGGAGTAAGAGAAGTTTATGACATGCAAAAACAGCTATGCATTCATATATGTTTAATAGGAAATAGAACTGAGTGTGGTGAGCCAAATAAAGGCAACACCTCACTCAAAAGAAATTACATTTTCATAACCACAAAATGATCTTTGCAAGGAGTAACTTGGCCTGAAACCTGAAAACCAGGCCACTAAAAGCAAGCAAAGAGAGAGAGAAACTTCCCCACAACAGAGTTAAGTTTCACATTAGAGAAACCACAGTTGATCTGTACCAGCATGCACTAGAGAAGATGTTTTCTTTTTGGTTTTAATGTGCCAACTTTTCCTAGAGGCTCTCCTTTGTTTTCTTTTCCTTGTAGCCTGCCCTGATGTGTGTGTGTCTGGCTTTGGTGGTTTGGAGGATGGCGATTGGGCGGGGAGCAGGACTCAGTTCTCCTGCTGAGCCTGGGAGGAGTGGGAGGGACTCAGAGCAGCCGAGCGGGTTTCTCACACCGCAGCCTTCCAGGCAGTCTTCCTCCAGTGTCTGCCAGCCAGCCGGACCCCAAGACGAAGAGCAGCAGTGCACAGCCTGAAGAGTCAGCCCAGATAGTACACCTGCAGCCCGGTGCCCCGGTGGCCTTGACCTCCCGTGACCGCACCATGGTGGGTTTGCTTCGCGACTTGGTTTTCTAATGTTTGGGGGCTGGAAAAGGGGAGGAAGCATGGCACCGAGACGTGGAAAGAAGTCCTGCGCCGTAGGGAGGGGGCACAGTAGAATCCTTTGGGTCATGACAGGAAGAAACAAAGGCGAGAAGTAACTGTTTCGAGTAAAGTGGGTAACCAGCGCTGGGGGGTGTTCCGCCGCGCCCATAGAGCAGGTTGACAGCTTGGCGGTGTGTACCCGGTGAGCCCGAGCGGGGACTGACAGGTGCGACTCCAGCTTCACCTCTCTATCTAGCCGGCGCCGCCGCCCCGCATCTGGAATCCAGTGCTGTTGTGCAGTGCGGGGTGTGCTCTGCATCTGCTGGAAGTCACGAACCTCGGTTGGTCCTCAGGTCTGAAAGCTACTGAGTAAGTGATCGCTGTAGCCTAGCTGGTGGGGGACTCACAAGGCATGAGGCCCTCTGTTTAGCTCTGACCGAATCCTTTCCCACGCTCTCCCGGGATCTTGCCCTACCCTGGGAAGCAAGATCATGATTCCCACGCTGGGGAAAGGAGAACAGACTACTCGGGCGTGATCGAGGTCCAGGGGAGTAGCTCTGGCTGGGCGCTGTGAGCCCTTTTGGGGACTTGCAAGGCTTGGGCGACTATCTCCCACGCCTGGCCTCCAGCCCTGAGAAGCTGTCTGGCCTCCCTCACCCAGTAGCAAGGCAGGGGCACCTAGACCTACAGCCTCCAGCTTGTGGCTTCATCTGGACTTTCCTCCCTCAGGGTGGAGAAGCAGCTCAAATCCCCAGGGAATGCAAACTGCCAACTTCCAGAGGGTGCTGGAGCTGCAGCAAAGTATGCCTACATGCAGGGTACACGAGCCTGACTGCTCATTAGCCGCCTTTCTCTTGTTATAATGACTGTAACATTGGAAGGCAATGTCCAGGTCTCCTGGGCCCAGTTGAGTGAATAGCCTGTCCAGGGTCCTCGGAGCTGCCTCTAAGTGACTTTTTTTGTGATGGGTCTCCTCATACTGTGGTCACGTGATTCTAAGGTACTGGGTTTCCTGAGTCTTTCTTTTGCTTTCTGGCATTCAGAGAGCTGTCTCTTCGTTTTGAATTTGATAAACAGTTTATATCTTCTGAAGTAAGCCAGAGGGTTGTCCAGCTAACCCTCTGCTTGCATCTTGGCTTCTAACGTATTGAAACCTTGCTGGGTTTAAAGGAATATATATTACCTTAATTTAAGTTTTCATAGTGTTTTCTTAGGATCAGCCCTCCAACAATGGTTCTTATTTGTATTCAGACTAATACCAGACTTGGTAGGAGCAGCATTCACCTTCCTGTTGCATGCTCGTTGAGGCACTTAAGGATGAACAGTTTTGTGTCTTGGTTCATCATAATGTAGTAGAAATCTGTTGTGTTTCCTAAACTGGTGGTAATTGTTTTTCTTCAGAAAGGATCGCATCAGGTACTCTATTGTAAAGAGCGATGGGGAATCACTGGTGGCAAAGGATGTTAATATGAGAGACTGTCTAGAGTTCTGAATCAACGATAGGACATTGCATTGTTCAGTTATTAAATGGCCAGGTATATGAATCTATGTTAGGTATCTTGTAGTCTCAGAAGTTATAACTAAATAGTTGAGCTGTTGCATTTTTTTTTAGAGAGATAGAATGAACTCCTGAGATGTACAGAGAAATTTGCAACCCAATAAAAAAATGAGGACCTGAGTTAAGGAAAATGTTTTCTGGTCCAAATCTTAGCCTCTACATAAAGTATGCAGACACGGACTAGCAGAAAACTTCAAGAACAGTACTGTATAGTTAAACAGTTCAAATGCCGGTGAGGTAGTGGAAAGAAAGGAATCTGTATACACCACCTGGGGAAATGTAAACGTGGGAAACTACTATGGAAATCAGGATGGAGGTTCCTCAAAATATTTAAAAATAGAACTACCCACATGATTGAGCTATATATACTCCTTCAGCTATACACAGGAAAAAAATTTGTGTCAGCACACCACAGAGATATTTACTAGCCACAATTGCCAAGATATAGAACCAGTCTAGTGCCCAGCAACAAGTGAATGAATAAAAACAATATGGGAATATCAGTGATGAATATATACACATTTATTCCTCTATACATAGAAAGAAAATGTTGACATTCGCAAGGAAATGAGTGGAACTGGACATCATTCACACACTCAAAGAGAAATAAAAAAAGACATTTTCTCTCATATGTAAAATCTAGGGATATATATATATATGTATATATATATATATATACATATATATATATATATGAATGAAACTGGGAGAAGTGAGACCAAGACAGGAGGGATGGGGACAAAGAAGGGCAACTCTGTATATAAAATGTGAAAGCACAAGGGAAAACTATCTAGGGAAACAAAAGAAGACAAACAAGGTGGGGAAGGCAGGGGGTCAAATCAGACAATGTAGAGTATAATAATACACACACATGACAGTGTCACAATAAAATCCCTTACTTTGTATACTAAATAAAATAAGCTGAAAGAAGGAGAAAAGCTCCTATGACATAGATCCAAGTCCATTATTAACTGTTTCACTTGCCAAAATGTGTTCTATGAAGTTTACTTAATAGAGGTCTGTGATGCACAGATGGGTAGATTTTGTTTCTACTTTCACTGCTAGATATTTTCAGTTTATGACATAAAATACTTTTCTCTCATTGAGGTCAAACTTAAATATGAAGTAGTTTTGCTTGGTATGGTGTCCCATGAGGCATGGCGTGTAAACAGTCCTAGTCAGAACCCATTAACACATTCAAGTGTAATGCATGATTATCTTCTGCCATTTGAGAATGAGGAAAAACATGTGAAGTTATGGCTTATGTCTAGCAGTAGGAGTAGGAAAGAGTTCCTAATATTTAATGCTGGTGTCTCATAACTATGACTTATTAGATAATCTTGTTTCAAGACAATCTGGAAAGTTGTTTCAATTTGTAGACTTCACTACAAGCTAAAGTAATGACACTAAAATTAAGCTGTTATGAGTAATGTATCAGTAGAGTACTTAGAGTATTAAAGTTTCAACAAATTTTCATGGGTACCTTCAGACTTAAGAACCCATGTAACATTGAACTGTGTCAGAAACAGTGAAGGAAAAGGAAACTTGAGTTCTCTTATTTATTTGGTAGCACTAGTGAGTGTGTTGTGCGGGGGGAGAATACTGAATGTTTAAAGATAGTATGGCATGTTCCCCAAATCTCTTGTGAATTTAAGAAATAAACACCAAATTAGCTTTAGGAGTGAGTCTCCCTAAATAAGAGGAAATGGAAAGTAATGTTTGGACAAAACAAGCCAAAATATGTTATTGATAGGGGAAAAAATGTAGGAAGTGATGGTGTGATAGAATTACTTTGATGTCAGATTCACAAGGAAGTTTCTTGTTTTCATTTACTTTCAGAGGACATTCATCTTTTTATGGAGCTATTTTTATGCTACTTGATTAGAACTATTTATCCAAGACACTTTCCTTAAGCATGCTATTTATTCGATTTCCACACGTTTGCTGAAGGAATTGTCTCTCTAAAACATCCACAATGACTATGATTGTCCCTTCCAGGTCATCTAGGTCTATCCTCTGGGCAGCATTTTCCTTAGCTGTCACCATACTATTTGGGCATAAGAGCTTTCAGTAATCTTGAGTTCTTTTCATGATTCTGTGTCTTTGAACCAGTTGACTTATTGGAAGGATGGGTACTTGCTTGTCTATCCTGTGTCATACCTGATTAGTCATTGTCTTTAAAATTTCTAATTTTTTCTTACTTTTGTGGGTGTGTGTATATGCATATGTGCGTGTGTGGTAATGAACACACCACAGCATACATGTGCTTCTCTCCTATTGTGTGCATCTGGGATTAAACTCAGGACTTTAGTTGTTGTGGAAAGGCTACCATAAATGCCTTTCCCAGGTAGTGAGATTAACAACTAACTTATACATGGAGCCCTCATCTAACACCTGTTAGAAACAGAAGCAAACACCCATACCTAAACACTAAGATGAACTAGAACCCAGATGCAGATGGAGAGGACAATACCAGGCGGCAGAAACACATAGAGACAGCTGACCTGAACAAGGAGGAGCCAATGGGTCCCCAGACTGATAGCTGGGAATCCAGCATGGGACTGACTCAGGCCCCCCTGAATATGGGTCTCAGCCAGAAGGACTGAGCACTCTAAGGGACCTCAGACAGTGAACCAGGATGTTTCCCTGGTTCACAAAATGACCTTGCGAACACATCCCCCATGGAGGCATAACTGCCTTAACCTAGAGACAGGAAAGAAGCCCTAGTTCCTACTTCAAATGACCTGTCAGATCTACATGACCCCAACTGGATGGCATTGTCCTACATATGGAATTGGGTTGAGGGGATGAGAGGGGAGGGTGGTTAGGGTGCATGTGAGAGGGCAGAGAGGGTAAAAGGGAGGGAGGGAGGGAGAGGGAAAATATAAAAAAAAAAAAAAAAAAGAAAGAAAAAAGAAAAAAAGAAGAAGAACCTGTACTCACTGAGCCACCTCAGGAGGTCTCTTATTCTTTTATCTTTCATCAGTATTCTGATATATATATATATATATATATCAGTATGTATCCAGTTCCTCTAGTCCAGGGCCCTTACAGAAAACAAATGCAATTGTTTGGGGCTGGGGTAAAAAGAGTTTGAGCCAAGTGTGCCTTCATCATACAATGAGAGATCCTTGCTTATTAAAACTCCAGAGGTTCTGTGGCACAATTTCTTTGCCACAGAAATCTAAGTTTCCTTGCGCTGTAGGCATGCTTTTCAGCTAGTATTAATCTTTTATCAAAACAAACCTTTCTTTTTATACAATGGAAGCCAGATCTAACTCACATACCAACTACTCTCATATAGTAAGGATTAGCAAGTCAGCTAGAGATTGCTGAAAGGAAGTTAGGTAAACTCCCACATTAACCCTTTGGCCATCCTAGGAGTATCCTTTTCCATTCTACC